CTGCTGCTGCTGCTGCTGCTGCCTTCACATTGTTTTAAGTGGGGCTGAAAGATAGCCATCGCTCTTCACATGCTCTAGTCCTTTACACTCCATTCACTGACAGGCATGGTTGTCATATTCTCAACCTTTAGAGTTTTCCGTCTGCCATCTCCCGCCAGCCTCACTTCTCTTCCTACAAGTATCATCCTCAGCTACACGTCGTCCTCTCCCTCGTGTCCTCTGCCCGACTCGTCCCTCCCTCTTGACCTGTTACTCTCGTGTACCCGCGCCCATCCTCTCCATCTCCGCTCTTTCCCGCCACACCATCTCATTCGTCCCTTCCCTCATTTTCAACATCCCAGCTACATGAAATATCATCCTCATAGGAAACTTCCTGGAACAACCTCCCGCACTTGAATCTTTCATGGCAGTACTACATAACAAGCACCATGAACCGCCCCGTGTCGTTTTCTTCTCGCCTACCATTCACCATATCTTCCCATTTTCTGTGGTATCCACTTTTCTTTTACCTTATCTTTCTTCTGAAACGTTTTCTCGACCTCTTTACATCATCGTTTTCTTCCACCTCTCTTCTCCTGCTCCTCCTCTCGGCTCGGCTCCTCCCTACCCTTACCCTCCTCCTTGCTCTGCTTCTCCTCTGCTTCCTTCTCCTTCTCCCCTCCCCTCCTCCTCCTCTCTCCTCCTCGTCTCTTCTCCTCCTCTCTCCTCCTCCTCTCCCCCCCCCTCCATGATCTCCATTTTTCAGCTCTCCTTCGCTCCTCGCTCCTCCTTCCTGCCATGCTTCGCCCGAAAGCATCGTTCATCGCTCGAGACCACCCCCTACCCCCACCCCCTAGCACTAGATGGTTTGTCTACCCAGACCTACAACCTCCACCCCCCAAATTTAGTTGCCATCTTTCTATAACCCCAGGTCAATCCATGTAAATCACCTGCTAAGTACCCCTTCTTTATGTCCCTTCTCGCCTGCACATGTGGAGTACCGTCGAAACTAGTACCCTACCTCTCAATTCGAGCACAGAGTACCCTTTGCACCCCCATTTTCGTCACCAACCCTGCGGGATCTGCGTAAAAGTAAAAAAACCATTATCCTAAAAGAAAAAAGAAAAAAGAAAAGGAACCAGCGAGTCACGCCGGCCACCGGCGCGGAAGTGCCGCAGTGCCCGGCCCGGTGACTCAGGACTCGCAGATCGGTCCGGACTCGGCGCCAGCCTGGGACGGGGAGCTAACACTGATCTCGGAAGTCCGACTCATCCGAACTTGGAAGCTCAAAGTCAGTTTCATAGCCAGGCTACGGCAGGCAACCCCCCCCCGGCCTCCGGCCGTTGCGGCCGGCGTGCGATCAATGATCAACCGGCGATCATCCGGACCGGGATGATCGGATGACTCGGTTACCGCATCATCATGGCCCATTCAATTTTTTCTGCCACCTGAGTCACTGAAGTGATCCGCGATCATGACCGATCGCCGGGACGGTGCCGTTTCAAACTCGATGACGTTTTTTTTAGCAAAGGCAGAAAAAAAAATCATCGGAGTGAGAGGATTTTGTGGAGCCGATTCCGACCCGATCTAAATCGATTTAAATCTGGGGGCATTCTGGGATTTTTCGATTCAATCGGAGTCGTACGTGGCTCTGATAGTACGAAGGACATCGATTCAAATCGGTTCAAGTCGTTCCTGCTAGAACCCGACTCGATGTAACCGTCTGCCATCGAAGGAGGGCGAAGGACGACGAGGACGAGGACGAGGACGAGGATTAGGATGAGGACAAGGACGAGGACGAGGACGAGGACGAGGACGAGGACGAGGAAGAGGACGAGGACGAGGACGAAGACGAGGACGAGTTCGAGGACGAGGAGGAGGAGTGCTTCGGAGGAACTTCTGAGAGCCTGTTGAGAATTGTCGAGGCCCGGTTCTGAAACGTGGTGCGGGGTCTCTTCCGAGGACGAGAGCGCAAAGGGAGTATAGAATGGTGTAGCGATAATCTTGGGAGCCGTAAGGCTACGGTAACTTATGGAGGAGCAGGTGAAAGGAAGAGGAAAAGTTCGATCGTCTTCTCGTTAGTTCCGTGAGCATAAGAGATTCTGGGGGAAGGCAAAAGAATTTGGAGATTGGAAAGGAATGCCAGAAGTTAGAGTAGCAGAGAGGAAGGAATGGAAGAAGGAGGAAAGTACTGAATCATAGTGGAAGCACTTAAGATTACAGGAATGCAAGTCATCTGCAGGAGAATGTTGCGAGGATGGAGATGAAGTCGGATTGGAGGGAGGGAGTGCGGAACTGTTGCGTAGGAAAGAGCAGCAAACCAGAGGAGCAGAGCAGGAGCAGGATGAGAAGCCTCTGCATGTGATGGCGTGACGACAACGATCATGGTGCATCAAGTGTGGTGGGTGGGTGTGACCATTGTAGCAGATGGAGGGAGGAGACGACGACGGTATCGAGAATTCTTCAGCCCTGCCCATGGTCTCTATCTCTAAAGAGAGCCTGTCGTACCAGGGAGAAGCGCTCTGCACCTCGCTCCTCACAGCCATCAAGACTGACGTCCTCTCAGCCAAGGAGGCGTGCTACGAGGCCATCGGAGAAAACTTCACGTCCAGGTCCACAACTGGCATCCTGCTGGAGGGGACTAAGGTAAAGCACCTCCTAGTCGGCGGTCCAGCAGCTGTGAGCAGGAACGTGACGGTCGGAGAGAACATCTACAAGGTCAATGGCATGGCGGTCGACGAGCACACAATCAGCAGTGCCATGCTCGACCAAGACGTCCCGGGCACCTTCGTCTCCCTCTCGATGCAGGACAGCAGCTCGAGGCTCGAGGGCGTTCCCAAGGAAGTCCTGCTGCTGCGAGCGCCGACGGAGAAGCTGGCAAACCAGAACAAGATGCTGGAGTATCTGATCTCGCTCAAGACCGTCTGCCAGCACGAGGAGGCACCAAGGGCGCTGGTGCACGATTGTATCAACCTCTGGAACAAGATGATGGTGACAGAGGAAACATACGCGCGGACGATCCTCCACAACGTGGAGGGCACGTGGAAGAAGAGCGGGGACTTGGTGGAGCACATGCGAGCTCTGCTGAGAGCCTTCGCCAAACTGCCCGGGGAGGGTGCGGCCGACGCGGTAGGGCAGACAGAGCTCATCCTGCGCCAGCGGATCGCCTACCAGACCTCCGCCCTCGACAAGGCGGTGGAGGAGCGCGACGCCCTGCAGTCCTCCCTCCAGCGCGAGCGCGAGCTCAAGTCCGAGCTAGAGGCTGCCCTGCACAAGACGCAGGAGGAGCTGAAGGCGAGCAGGAAGTCAGCTGAAGTCGCCAGGAGCGGCAGTGCCCAGCAGGGTGGTGGGGGCGTCCCTGCCAGCCTTCAGCTGGGGAGGGAGAGGCTCGACCCGCAAACAGAGACCGCGGTCTTCTACGAGCTGATGATCGAGCGCCAGCTCACTGCCCGGCTGCAGACCGAGCTGGAGGCGACGACGGCGGCGCTGAGGCTGAGCGAGGGGGAGCAGAGGAGGCTGCAGCGGCAGGAGGGGATCCTGAAGGAGCAGGTGGAAGCGCTGAGAGACTCGCTGCAGAAGGAGGTCAACGAGATTCAGCTGCTGCTCGACGAGATCTACCACCAGCGATCCGAGCACGAGAGCTTCCGCAACGAGGCAGCGGTCGCTCAGGTCTGGGCCAAGGAGGCCGTGCAGGCTGGGAACGCCAGGGCGGCGGCCCTTGAAGCAGAGCTCTCGAAGCAATCGAGCTTCAGCATGACCCTGGAGTACAACAAGGAGGTGGCGGAGGAGAAGGTGCGGATGCTTGCGCTGGAGGTGGAGAGGAAGGAGCAGGAGAAGGAGGAGATGGCTCTGCTCTGCCGGCAGCTGGAGGAGGACAGGAGGGTGTCCGAGGCAGACGCTGCGGCCGTGAGGGCGCAGATGTTGGTGATGGGCAACGAGCTTCGGGCGATGGAGGAGGAGGTTGCCAAGGCAGCCGCTGCTCTGATCGTTGAGAGGGAGAGGTCCAGGGAGGTGGAGCTGCAGCGGGACCGCGCGCTCTTGCAGTTCCAGCAGACGGCGAGGATGCGCGAGGAACGCTCCCCCTCCCCCCAGGCGAGGTACGAGGAGGCGCTGGGCAGACTCAGGAGGACGAGAGCTCTAGAGCAGGAGACAAGGGAATTCTATCAGTACCAGATGGCGTTGGAGTCTTCCGGCCTGCTCAGGTTCAGGAGCCCCGTCCCCGTCGTCCCCGCTGCCTCCTCCTCCTCCCCCCGCCTGGAGGCGTTATCGCCGCTCCAGCGGTCGATCGATCGAGCCGCCCGCTCGCTCTCGCCTCCTCGCCGATCGACTCGCTTCCCCTCCCCGTCGCCGATGAAGAGCAACGGGACCACGTACGTTGTCGCAGCAGAGCTCGCTTCCTCCTCCTCCCTCACGCAGACCGCCGGGGTCGGCCTCCTCCTGTCACACACTATCGACAACAAGTTTGTGGTTGACTCCGTGATCCCTGACGGGGCCGCAGCGAGAGAAGGACAGATAGAGGTGAGGAGAGGAAGAGGGAGGAGTGAGAGGGGGGATGAGAGGGGGGGAGGAGGTAGGAGAGGAAGGAGGAATCGGGGAAGTCAACGAGGGAAGGAAGAGAAAGCAGGACCGAAAGGAGAGGAAGGGAGAGGAGAGGAAGGGAAGGGAGAGCAGAGGAGGGGACGGGAGAGGACGGGAGGATTGCGTTGGCGGTGCTACAGGAGAGGATGTGACTGGACTTCCTGCAGGTGCGGGACGAGATCGAGCGAGTCGACGGGATCAGCCCGAAGAACTTGAGCGAACTGCAGAGCCTCGTCCAGGTAAAGATAGGAGGGAAAGAGACAGAAGGGGAGGGAGAGAACATTTCTCCTCGTGCTCCTGCTCCTGCCCCTGCTCCTGCCCCTGCTCCTGCCCCTGCTATTGCCCTTGCTCCTGCTCCTGCTCCCCTCTGATCCGCATGCCAGGGCCCTCCGAACTCTGCTGTCATCCTTGACGTGCTTCGCGCTGGCATCTCCTTCCGCGTGATCCTCCGCAGACAAGCTTCTTCCTACAGCATCCCACAGGCAGACCTGAGCCCTCCTCGAGGTCGACCGAGAACCTCCCCCCGTCTCCTTCCTCATTCCTCCCTTCCTTTCCTTCCTCCTTCCTCCTTCCTCTACTCCTCCCCTTGCGGCCTCCCTCTCCCTCTCCCTCTCCCTCTCCCTCTCCCTCTCCCTCTCCTCCTCCCTCTCCTCTCCCTCTCCCTCTCCCCCTCCCTCTCCCTCTCCCCCTCCCTCTCCCTCTCCCTCTCCCTCTCCCTCTCCCTCCAGCCGACTCCCTA